TTTCAAACCCAGTTCTAATTAGGAAAAGTGTGGTTGTAATACAGTAGAATGGAGGAGAGGTTTAGTGCCGACGGTGCACTAGAAGTGTGTGATTCGGGATAACACAGTTTACTTCATCTAACAGCCGTGTCTTGGAAGCTTAGGATCAGCTTGGGTAAAATGTCAGAGAAGCTGAAGCTCTGTGATCTCCACAACTGTATTGGCAAGACTGGTAGATGCTGATTCTAGGTAATAACGTCTGTGCAGCTCCTCCTCTGATATGATGAGTCATTTCGTTGTTATTCCTGTGTATAGAAGAGGCACAGTTACACATGCCTCTATTTTATACATCTGACCGTTACATGTGCCTTGTTGGATACTTGTAGCAACGTCACTACTAAAGGTATAAGGTCTCAGCAACCATAATACCAGATGTGTAAACTATTAACCCTTAAATGGTCCAAACGTATATATACGTTTTTTCAACATCTGAAAGTATGTAAAAAAACGTAGATCTTCTTTTTTGTTTTACATTTGAAAACGTGTAAAAAAAACTTTTATCTACATTTTTTTTGTTATATTTGAAAATGTGTAAAAAAAAGTAGATATACTTTTGTAGCACTACGAATTTGAACGTCGATCTCTTTGGACCGTTTAAGGGTTAAGATAAGATAAGATTTCGTTCGGATTTTTAACCCCGGAGGGTCAGCCACCCAGGATAACCCAAGAAAGTCAGTGCGTCATGGAGGACTGTCTGACTGGGACCTTATCAAAAGTTTTTACCGAGACACCTCAACCCGACAAGCAGCCACTAATATATTTTTAACTCTTATCCTTTCTAAATGAGCTATTTTCTGGAGATGGGGTCGAATCATGATCACTCGGTGAACTGTTACATTCGATTGGTACAAACTTTCTGTGAGAGCAAGGAATAATACACATAAACACACTTCTACATGTGTCGGATTAGTTGGGTTGTTTATCTGGAGAGAGTTCCGGGGGTCAACGCCCCCGCGGCCCGGTCTGTGACCAGGCCTCCTTAGGTCAGTGTCCCAGGATGCGACCCACACCAGTCGACTAACACCCAGGTACCCATTTTACTGATGGGGAACATAGACAACAGGTGGAAAGAAACACGTCCAATGTTTCTACTCTGGCTGGGAATCGAACCCAGGCCCTCACCGTGTGAAGCGAGAGCGTTAACCACCAGGCCACCAGAGACCTGGTGTGTGTATATGTAACTGCAGGCTGCTACGACAAACAGCCTAGCTGACCAGGCAGTCAACAGGAGTGAGAAGATATAAAAGCCCTGGAAACCAGTCACAGGTAAATCACACGTAAAATAAAATCAGTACGAATTTTCTGAAGTATTGCTTTAATTTAGAAAAAGATGAACTGTATCAGATTACGACTAATGTTACGGTTGAGAAATTCGCTGTAAAAAAAATTGACAGCGTATTGGGTGCATTTTAAACATTGCCTGGAATATGGCTGCGAATCTTATTGTAACCTTCACGGCTGAGAGGACAGATCATAAATAATGTTACTTGAAGCATCATATGTTCATGACTAGCTTTGGAGTTTACTTAATTTAGATATCACAAAATCAAGGGATATCAAATTTAAGAATCAGATCTAAACATATGGTAAATATCAAATTAATAAATATAAGAGAATAAAGAGTATAAACAAGGAAGAGAAACTAGACTTTCCTGTGTAATAATGAACGGTCATAGTTGAGTTACTGTTTCTAATTTTTTTATTCTGTGTTCGTTTTCTTTTTTTCTATCTCTTTATTTCACTAATATTAATTTTTTGTTTAGCATATATTTAGATCTCATAATTATAATAATTTTTTTTTCTGATTTTGTACAATGTCTGATTAAGCAAATTAACAACGAAACTATTGAAGAATTGCTTCAAGCAAGAGTGCTGGTTTTCAACTCCTCATATAATATATATATATATAATATATATATATATATATATATATATATAATAAATAATATTTTTAATTAATATATATATAACGTATATATATATAATTATAAAAGGTCGAAGGAGACTCGAACCTACGAACCTTGAGATACGGTGAGTAGAGCACTGCATACCTTAATACACTGATTCAGTACCCTGGCGCCCAGCTAACGTTAGACGTTTTGATCCAAGGCAGCCAGCCTTCAGTCAGGTGGTTTCAAATTTTTTACATTGTAAAAATCTCTCGTCGGTCGACACATGCAGTGGTTGAGATGAAAAGCTTAAAACCACATGCCTGAAGGCTGGCTGCCTTGGGCCAAAACGTCTAGCGTTATCTGGCCGCCAGGGTGTTGGACCAGGGTGGTACGGTGGTGAAGCACCGCGTACCTTGCCCCAAGGTTCGTAGGTTCGAGTCTCCTTCGACCTGAGATTAGTATTTGTGAAAATTTCGCCTGTTCTGCGAATTCTGAAAACAACCAAACACGCATACACTCACACACACACACAAGGGATAAAAGTTAAAGTAATATACGGGAATTTAAAGTTTTATTAAGACTGCATTTCTAATTAGAAAATCAATTATCAGTTTCATTACAGCCTTTAGTAGTGTGGTTAATTACTTTCCATACTTACCGTATAGTCCACGTCCACCATGGCCACCGAAGGAGCCACCAACACCACCGAAAGAGCCACCAAAACCTCCCAGGGAGCCACCGTGACCACCTAAACCAACACCAACTCCAATACCTCCCAGAGAGCCACCACCAAAACCACCCTTGATGCCGCCATGACCGATGCCCTTACTAACAGTACGGCTAACGAGCCACCGATGGCTGGCGTAATGATTGCACCGCCACCCACGCCTTTGTAACCCCCGCCAATGCCACCATGACCAAGTCCAACGCCACCTCCAAAGCCGCCGCCTCCGAAGCCGCCGCCTCCGAAGCCGCCGCCTCCGAAGCCTCCGCCTACTCCTCGAAAGCCTCCTCCTAAGCCGCCGCCTAAACCAACTCCATGTCCACCAGAGATGACTCCGCGGGCGTAGAGACCACCAGCTCTGCAGGAGCCCAGCAGGAGGGCAGCACTCACGGTGATCAACAGCAGTTTCTGTAAAACATTAATACATATAAGTTAGACAAAATATAAACATTTAAAAATTATAATGAAACTATTTCAAGTTCAGCACACTAAACATACCAATAATTATATATTATATTATATATAATATATAATATATATATATTATATAATATATATATATATATGTCGTGCCGAATATGTAAAACTGGTCAATTAGCAAGAACTCATTTAAAATTAAGTTCTTTCTGAAATTTTCTCTTATACGTTTAAAGATATATTTTTTTCATTAATGTTAATGTAAAAAATTTTAATTTGCACCAAAAGAATCTTAGAAAACTTACCTAACCTTATTATAACAAGAACAATTTATTTTAGCCTAACCCAACTAAAATAATTTAGATTTGTTTACAGTAATTTAAATACTAAACAAACACAGTGAAATATATTTTTTTCGTTAGGTTCAGAATGATTTTGGCGAAATTATTGCATACACAAATTTTCACTTGTCCTATATGGCAAGATGACCGTTGCTATTTAAGCCAAGATCGCAAGTTCTGCCTATTCGGCACGACATAAATATAATATATATTATATAATATATAAATATTATATATATATATATATAAATAAAAATATAATCAAGATTCAATCACTACACATCAGGAAAGACGTCTTACCATGGTTAGGGTTCTCTGGATATGAGCTGCAGATGTGGAGGAGTTGTCAGCTTATATACTGCCTGAAGGGCCTCACCTCTGCCCATCGTCAAGGCAACTTACTGCTACTGACTTTTCGTCCTTCAAGGGTAAGTATCACGCGGGGTTTCCTTGCGGATAATAACCTAACTGTTACTAGAGGTATCCACTATATTCGTGACGTAAGTTCATTCGTTGATATGCGTATGTGTATGTATGTATTATATATATATATATATATATATATATATATATATATAAATATATATATATATATATAATAATATATATATGTCGTGCCGAATATGTAAAACTGGTCAATTAGCAAGAACTCATTTAAAATTAAGTCCTTTCTGAAATTTTCTCTTATACATTTAAAGATATATTTTTTTTCATTAATGTTGATGTAAAAATTTATAATTTTGCACCAAAGAATCTTAGAAAACTTACCTAACCTTATAATAACAAGAACAATTATTTAGCCTAACCCAACTATATATATTTTAGATTTCTTTTCAATAATTTAATACTAAACGAAACACAGTGAAATATATTTTTTTTCGTTAGGTTCAGAATGATTTTGGCGAAATTATTACATACACAAATTTTCACTTGTCCTATATGGCAAGATGAGCGTTGCTATTTAAGCCAAGATCGCAAGTTCGCCTATTCGGCAGCGAAATATATATATATATATATATATATATATATATATATATATTTATATATATATAATATATATATATAATATATATTCGTGCCGAATGTGTAAAACTTGCGATCTTGTTTAAATAGCAACGTTCATCTTGCCATATAGGACAAGCGAAAATTTGTGTATGCAATAATTTCGCCAAAATCATTCTGAACCTAACGAAAAAAATAAATTTCACTGTGTTTTGTTTAGTATTAAATTATTGTAAATGTATTTAAAATATATTTAATTTGATTAGCCTAAAATAAATTACGCTTGTTATAATAAGGTTAAGTAAGTTTTCTAAGATTCTTTGGTGCAAAATTAAAAACTTTTTACATTAACATTAATGAAAAAAATATATCTTTAAACGTATAATATATAATATATAATAGTATATTAGATAATATAATATAATATATATATATATATATATATATTTAAAATTATATATAGTAATATATATATATATATATGCTTAAGAATTCACAAAAGGGCAAAAATTATTTACAAACATGATGGAAGGGATAGGCTCAGAAGTTTCCCTGTTCGCAGATGATGTGAAGTTAACGAGGAGAATTAAATCAGATGAGGATCAGACAGGACTACGAAGAGACCTGGACAGGCTGGTCAAACACGCCAAGAAATTAGAGAAAGTGCAAAGGTTTGCAGCAAGGTTAGTTCCGGAGCTTAGGGGAATGTCCTACGAAGAAAGGTTGAGGGAAATCGGCCGCCGACGCTGGAAGACAGGAGGGTCATGGGAGACATGATAACGACATACAAAATAATGCTTGGAATAGGAAGGTGGACAGAGACGGGATGTTCCAGAGAGGGGACACAGAAACAAGGGGTCACGACTGGAAGCTGAAGACTCAGATGAGTCAAAGGAATGTTAGGAATAGTATTTCTTCATTTATAGAGTTGTCAGAAAGTGGAACTGTCTGGAAAGGGAAGTGGTGGAGGCAGAATTTATACAAAGCATTAATAAGAGGTATGATAAAGCTCAGGGAGCAGGGAGGGAGTGACCTAGCAGCGACCAGTGAAGAGGCGGATCCAGGAGCTAAGACTAGAGCAGTGCAACTACAATTATACGAGTACACACACACACACACACACACACACACACACACACACACACACACACACACACACACACACACACACACAGAAAGACCGCAGTCGTCAGGACTCGATACTGCTACTGGGACGGTCAAGATTCCCAGAGAGATTGAAATATGAATCTATACTTGAGGCTCACTGACGTACCCGTGTTGTGAAAGAAACATGGCTTGTGAACCAGGCTGCCCAGCTGATGTGGCAGTTGTCTGGCTGAGTGGATAAGAGCACTGCCTGGTAATCTTGACCGTCCCCAGTAGCACTGTCGAGTCCTTCTGACTGCGATCTTTCTCTATATATTCCCGCTTGTTTCTGCGGGGTTGCATTGATAAATATATATATATATATAAAATATATATTTTATAAATAATATATATAATATATATATATATATATAAAATATTTAATTATATAATGATTTAGTTTTATTTTGTTTTTGACTATTGTCAACCATCCAGCTTTGGTGTTACCCTGCGACTCTCTTCATTATCACAACAGCTGTTGTTATTTAAGGCTATTCCTCCAAGCGTGCTCCGTGAGTAAATGTATTTTCGCCAAATTCTCCCTTTCGGTTCATGATTACTGCTGAAATTCATGATGGATATTATACATAGGAAGCATGCAAGTATTGTAGCTCTTAGAAAACATGTTGATTTGAGTATCAGACAGATCGCCGAAAATTTGAGGGTATCAAAGTCAAATGTTGGTCGGATTCTGAAGAGAGCTAATTGTGGAACGCTGCGTCGAAAAAGATGTAGAAGAAAACGCAACACAACACATCACGATGACAAGATTATCAGAAATAGTGTGAAGGGTCCCGAGAAAACCAGCAAAGATCTACCGAGATATTTGCCTTCTTTAAGTAGGCAGAACTGTCAGAAAGCCTGTGAGGAAATAATTATTGACTTGTGTTATGAAGGAAAATGAATGCAGTGGGTACTGATAGTAAGGGATGGACGACAGATGAATGGAGAAGTTATGTTTTCAGATGAAGCGCATTTTGAAGTACATGGGTTCAGATCAATGGGAGCAAGACGGACCAAAGGCGAATCTCTTCTGAATGGACACATTCAACAATCGCCAAAACACACACCTAAGATGATCTGGGAAAGTTTTACTGCTAAAGACCCTGTACAGCTTGATATATTGAGGGAATGATTAACAGTGACAAATACAAGGCAATACTAGCAACTCATTTTCTTCCCATTTTGGAAAGAAACTTTCCTGACTGAGAAGGCATTTTCCAGTAGGATCTTCCACCATGTCACATTTCCAAAAAAAATCTGATATTCTCGAAGAAAGTGGGCTAAACGTTCTAAATTGGCCTGGAAACACTCTTGACCTCAACTTGACTAAGAATCTATGGGTAATAACCAAATGCATGATCGAGAAACAGGACTGTTCTGTGGAGAAGCTAAATGATGCTGTCATTAGGACGTGGTATCACGACGAAGGACTTGTTAAAATGTGTTCAACATTGGTTGATTCTATGCCAAAGCGTGAAGCAATGCATATAACAGCAAAGAATGGTCATCTCTCTTCTCAGATCACTTATCTGTCATATCATTGCTGTGTATTTTTCAAATAAACATTAATTTTATAAATGTCTTAATTTACCAATGTCCCAGTTAATATGCACAGTACTGTATATAGTGTGGTGTGTAATGGTACAAGGGATAATGATAATTATATACAGGAATTTTAAGTTTTATTAAGACTGCATTTCTATCTAATTAGAAATTTAATCATCAGTTCCATTACAGCCTTTAGTACCGTGGTTGATTATTTTCCATACTTACCGTACAGTCCTCCATGTCCACCATGGCCACCGAAGGAGCCACCAACACCACCGAAAGAGCCACCACCAACACCAATACCAACTCCAATACCTCCCAGAGAGCCACCACCAAAACCACCCTTGATGCCGCCATGACCGATGCCCTTACTAACAGTACGGCTAACGAGTCCACCGATGGCTGGCGTAAAGATTGCACCGC